CTAATAAACAGCATGCCCTCCAATTCAACATCCCCTCGTAAAATAGACGCGAATGTAGCACAACTCATACGACGGTCGCATAAGTCACGCGACGGTCGCATGAGTTATAAACGGTCGCCTAATGTATGGACATTACTGTCGCATGACCATATCTCGCTTCAAAGTGGACGGATTCTGAATCCAAAACCACCTTTCGATTCAGCTCGGCGTGGAGCATCTTCTGGTATATTGGAAGTGAGGCACGATGTTTTCGATATTCCGTTTCCATTTTTTTTCAAATTCTTCTGCGGAGGTCCTTTCGCGAATATGTAAAGCAGCGCCTATCCAACATAGAAGATTCCACTCAGCAGTATTCAATGATACTATTCTTGTAGATTATTGTGCGCTGAAAATAAGCTCAGGCTTCCTTCCAAAGGAGATACGGCATTAAGTCACTGCATAACTGCAGACTGCACTGCAGACTTGGCCTTCATCAATAACGTATGGACTGCTACTGAACAAAATACATTCTTAGATTGTTGTAGCTAAATGGCATTCTTTCACTTTTTGGCAAGAAACCGATTAGCACAAACTTGGAACACCAGCAATCGCTCTTGGTGTTGAGCTCAAAGAAGTCATGCTCGAACATCTCTTGTAAAGGACCTCCTACAATTTGAATGATAAAGTTATTTCACACTATTTGAAAGAATATTGAATTTTGCTGAGATTACAGAGAAATTTTCTAGTTAGACCTAAGCCTTATTATGTAGTGAATGTCTGTTTGTCTGTCTGTATATCTGTATGCTCGCATGTTCAGAATGGAAACTATTAATTTGAACCGATGCGGGCTAAGTTGGTACTATACACTTCGAAAAAGGCGGTTGTCGTAGGCTATTTTTCGTTATCGATCAATATCGATCTTATCGATTTTTTGCGAGCTTTGGGCTTATAGATGGCAAGAGAAGGGGGTAATTGAGCATGCTATTTACGAAAACGTCATAGACAGGACCGAGCGAAGCCGGGTTGCTAGGTAAAAGCTAATTGGGACTTTAAAAATCACTCCAATCGTTTACGAGTGAAGAAAAGTCACTGCACAATTTTTTTCACTCTAATCGTTTACGAGTGAAGAAAAGTCACTGCACAATTTTTTAGCCTGCGTAAGTTTAGAAAGAGTCGCGACCCAAGCTCACAACGGAGTCTTGTTTGGTCAGAGTGGCTTCTTTAGATGAAATGTATACCATAATGGAAAGCATAAAACATTGATTCCAAATCTGTTTTCCATATCTGCGGAACGTTTGTGGATGAGGGGTTATGAGCTTTTATTGGAGCAAAAATTACATGTGCAAGTAGGACAAAAATAGTCGTAACTTTTTTAGAGCTTCAATGGAGCAGTGATGATTATCAGATGATTACCTCATTCAATAAATACTCTTAGATAAAAAATATAACATACCTGGTAGCTCCATATGTCTAGAAAGATTTTACATTTTAACCAACTTTATGTTCAATTCTTTGTTCCAAAAAACGCTTTTGACTCCTCGTCCTCAAACTTCCGCAGATAAGGAAGGCAGATTTGAGATCACGTTTTATGTTCTTCAATACGGTATACATTTCATTTAAAAAGGCCACTTCGACTAAACGAGCTTTCCTTGCCAGAGGGGGGGGGGGAGAGGACAGAAATATGTTGAGTCAAGAAACATGACGTTGATTATGCCTTCAAAAAAATTTTGGTACGCTACCCAACTTTTAAGTAGACCAATTTCGAAGAAGGCGCATAGTCCAAAAAATACTTTTCCTGTTCAAATGCTCAAAAAATTTAAAAATCAAACAAATAACATGTAAAGACAAGTTATCTGCACAGTTCTATAGCTTATGCAGGTAAGTTTTCCAAAGCACTCAGTTTTGAAAATTTCGACGTGTTTTGCTACGGTAACTTTCCTTTCGGCGCAGCTCGTGCTAGAGAAAAGTGTAGGCTTCAAATACAAACTTCATCTTTTGGTGCTTTGAGCTTGTAGGGGGCTCGTTGCTTGTTGCCTTCTCTTTAAAATGTTTTTCTAGTCATTTTCATACCATTACAAGTGCGCCAATAATGCCGCAGCAGGGGGCCAAGGTTAAGGTGAGCCTTATGGTCTTCTATGCAATCTACAAAAATATTAGGTTGATTCATAATTAATGCACGTTTTCTATACTCCAATTTTAGACTAAGATAATTGTTTCAATTGCTATATTATGCCGTAACAGGTTGTTATAGATGATATACTTTATTACCCAACGTTTCGGCAAGACGCCGTCTTCAGGGGCTGAAAAGGCGTCAATCACATTGATACACACGATCTCTGCCGCCAAATATCTCCACCGACTTGTCGCTCGATTCGCAAGGCAGGAAGTTTGGGGGCGAAGATTCACCCACCAAGCATATCATCGATGCTTAACTAACAGCCGCTTCAGGTGTGCTTGGTCGAGTGCGGTGTCAAATGGGCACCCAAGCTACTGCGGGGTTGTTTAAGTAGGGCACACAATCTTATAGTTTACAGTATGACAGATACGGCATCAAGTCACTCGTGATAGATAATTATAATTTCTCAGCTGTTTAGTTTGGGCTCACAAGCAAGAATGTAGGAGCCTTCCAAGGCTTTTCGTGCGGAAATTTGAATCGTAATCAACTCCGTTATGCTCGGTCATTCTATGCTTTTCCAGTGGACTAATCATGCTTTGCCTCTTTTTGCTAGCTAGACGTTCACTGATATGCGCACCTAGTGGCCGGCCGGTTTCACCAATGTATATGGCAGAGCATTTCGCACACTCAATTCGATATACAACACCAGATTTCGCACAATCTCCGAATTGTCCGTATGGGCACGCAGTTTCTTGTTATACAAGCTTTATCGTACAATCTTTTGCGTATTAAAAGCTTTCTGATCTTGTCTCGCGGGATCTTAACTAAGACGATATTATTCTCAAGCTGTGCTTGTATCAGACACTGTCTGACTGCAGCAGTGACCCTTTCGGAGATAAAAGGCAAGCATAGTGGTACTCTATTGGTAGCTTGTTCGCCTGTCTTTACAGTGTTTCTTTTCGAACATCCGTGTCGCATAACATATCCATTCGAGCCTATTCGGCTGCCAGCTTCAGTGACTCCTGCCTTTCCTCATTACCGCTGCAGATTTGCGTCGTTGTTCTAATCATATTACGTACAACGACTCGTTTGACAACTTCTGGATGTGCGGATTTTGCGTGCAAGATAATGTTCTTATTACTGTCTCTACGAAACCACTTCACGTGCACCTTTTATCGCTCAACATCAGTTGTGTGTTCAAAAACGGTAGCCAACCGTCGCGCGGTTCTTCCCTCGTAAAGCTTATGTACCTCGACTGTTGATTTAGTATTCGGAAAATTCGTCCATTTCGGACTTTGTCTACGTGACTATGCAACAATCGTCGATATAACGACGATACATAAGCGGGGCTCGGGATAGCACCGGTTCTTCTACTTTGCTCATGAAACATATTGCTAACACGGGTGACAATCGCTGAGTGACTCTTGAGTGAAGGTAGGTCAAGTTTGGTGAGAGTTGAGGGGAATCTACCAAATCACCATAACGACAGTGCGGGTACTCAGTCCACCACGAACGAAAAAACGGCTAAAGTCACAATGTCAGGTAATGCTCAGATTTCACGCAATGCTATCGAATTGTTGAGCCTAGGACCTTCTTTCGCACCTGCAAAGAATATAAGCGCAACAACATACCGCAACGTGTTGGGGTCATTACAACGATTAAGAGGCCAACTCAGAATCAAACTGAAGCATGACGATTAACCGCAACCCAGCGATGCTTTGAGTAGACGAGTATTACCGCCAGTTCCGTTTCTACCCTCGTTCTACAAAGAGCCTAAACCATATGCTGCCGCAGACATTAGGTTTCGAGTACTCTCTTTGAGCATCTTAAAAATTCTCAATGAAAACGAAACTATAAGAAAGTACAGCTTGACACGCGCACAGCAAGAAGGCCTCAAAGAGTTGAGAGAGCTAACTAACAATGGCACCATTCGCCTATCAGTCAGTGATAAAAGCGGGGAGTTCCTTGTCATGCCACAAAACCTGGATCGCGAAATAACCGAAATGCATCTGTCATATAAAACTGTCTACCAACTTGCAACCGAAAAAGAGTTTATCTCACAGTGTAAGCGGTTAAACCACATATGGACAATAGTAGGTAGAGAAGCTGGTCTGCATGAAAAATTCCTCAGTAGGCTCAAGATAGAAACACCTACTTGCCCCATTATCTATAGCTTAATCAAGACGCACAAACTGTCTACATCCGAAATGCGCTCCACTTCCGCTGAATTATACAAGATACGGCCCATCGTCAGTTGCGTAAACGGGCCAACCGATCGCATATCGTGGTTCCTCAACAAAATCATCAGCCAGCTCTTGAACAAGATTCCCGCCCACTTGAGCAATACTAATCACTTCCTTGTGTGTTTGCGTCAAACAAAGTTCACGTCCGATTGCGCAATTGAGTCATTTGATGTCGTGTCATTATACACTAATGTTTCTAATGACAAAGCCTTACAAGCTTTATCTGAGATGCCAGAGTTACATTGTAAAAATATGTTGACGTATGGTCTCAGTAAAAGCCGCATCATGACTCTCACCAAGGAATGCTTAGATTGCAATATATTCAAATGGTCGGGAAAATAGGGAGACGGCCCTTCTGAACCGAGCCCGCGCTACCGTAATTCAAAACGCAGGACGCGGGCGGGCGCGCTGCGTTTCCTGTGGACGAGATGGTCGTCTCTCTTCTCCGTGCAATCAATAACGCCGTTTCGACAATTTCTACTTCCCTCGAGTGGTTCTTATCCTCCTTTCATTAACTCCTTCGGTACCCTCGAGAATGTTATCATTGCCGTCATGCATTGCGTGACTGTTATTGTTCTAGCTTTACGGTAAAGCGTGTGCCCTTTACAATTTTAAATCCGTACTTTTCAGGTCGCATACTTTTCATATATTTTCCGAATGTGATGCTGAATCGTCGTGTGCTTGCTGAATGTCGGCGTCCTATTCGTAGTTCTCGCTGGAATGCTGACGCTCACTTGAGGTTTGGTCTCGGAGCTTTTTGCTTGACTTGTGGTTCAGTTAAACTACGAAAGTTATCCCCATTCAATTCTGGATAGATCGTGCCATTCAAAATTTCCGGCAAGGCTTAGAAATATCTTATCCGCTTCCCATAAAATTACATTTCAATCATATTAGCCTTTTTTCCGAGTTCGGTGAATTTTGGCAGTTTGTCCTTTTCAGAGCTCATGAACGCTCTCTACCTGTTGATCAGGATGCCATTCTTCGAGTTGATACCTGCCAACTAGCTGCCAATAGCCCTATAGAGGATTTTTACTCAGCTGCAAACGTACGTTTGTTTTTATATTCGTATATTTAGCTGTTCCAAAATGATTTTATCTGTTTACTTTCTTAACAGTCATAATTAGTGCGACTTTATTCTTATACGATTCGCAAAATCTATTGTTTTTTGTTCCATGACTTTTATTGTTCTCAGAAGCTGTTGGGAGAGAAGGGGAGAGGATAGGAGCGAATTGGTTTGCAAAATTTCCTTGTTAAATGAGTAACCATCAGGCCTATTTCCACAAACAATGGCTTTGCTATGTGCAGTTGCCGACTTAATATATTGGTGTAATAATCATGAGCTACTGTAAAAACTCGCACATTCCATTGTTGTTTTTCGGCGTTTATCGATAGCCAAATCTTCGCTCCATAACTCGTATGTGACTGCTAGCATCTCCAATCTGATCTGCAAAAGTTTTTCAAGACATTCATTTTTAGGCTTGTCATCAAATGCGTTTTTATTTGATGTCTTCGATGGACATGGTGGCCATTCATGCAGTAGACACCTGTCTATCTCGTTGTTTTCGTATATATGTGCTTCAGTTTTGCAAAAACACGAGGTAACACCTGTCATCTTTTTCTTATCAATTTGGCGTAGATTCTTAAAAACTGTGGAGCGAAACTTAATTCCATATTTTTCAAGGTAAAACTTCTTCCACCTGATGGTCGTCTCCAATGGCTCAGTAGCGCAGACACCCATTTGCCAAATCTGTTTATGTTAGTCTCTTGAGTCGTGTTAGTAACTTTGTCCTACGTGTCTTCCGCTGAGAATGACTCGCACAATCCTTTCAATTTCAGCGAATCTGAGAAAGATCAAATAATCGACTATTACAAATCTTTTATTGAGCGCAAGGATCTCCATACAGGTAATTTTTCCCGTTTACATTTCATTTTGTATTGTCTCTTCCTTTGATATCATTTGCTTTTCGAATTTGTATGCGTGAGGTTTTTACATTATAGTCCGTGATGCCCTCAAACTCGCCTTTGAAATGTGTGATGAGAACTTATGTAAAGCAGCTTCACCTGATAATCGCGGTCAGATTGATAGGTAAGTGTGAAGGTTAACCCTTTCCGGAGATGGTATTTACTCATTCTTCAGTTTACTCAAAGGGAGAAAAGCTGCAATGCGAAGAGCGGCGAAGAAGTAGAATTTTTCGTGCACTTCTGAAAATTTGCATAAGATTTTAACCTGCAGAATTCAAGAGAATTGCGTTATACATTCCAGGTTGTCGGTGGCTACGGCCGCTGCGGGTTCTTGTGCGACACTTGCTCATGTACGAAAAGGTAACCTTCAGGTAGCTAACGTAGGAGACGGCGCTGCTGTCTTAGGTACGTTCCCGCTTTTGGGTTGTTTCTGTGTGCTAGCTACCACCGCCTTTTTCATTTAGGCGTTGTAAACTCAAGATCATAGCACAATTTTCACCTGCAAATGCTGCCACTCTCAAATGCTTCAATGACTATTTACGTGCTCACTATGCATCTTCCGGCGGCGGCAGGTAGGTTTTGCTTGGTTTTACAAAGATTTGGGGTACTCGAGTGATTTATAGATCAGCTTGTTGCATGGGCGGATGTCTTTTTCCACGGAGGCATCATACCTCATTTGGAACAACGTGTAATTGCTTTACTCAGTTTGTACATATCCAGGAGAGACATTGCCACATTTTTCCAGGTCAAAAACGCAACGCTTATACCACTATTGTGCTTTACATCATTTTGAAAATAGATCCTATTATTTCTTTGCCAAACATGACTGTTCTCTTATGCTGATCGCATTTGTTCTTCTACCGTCAGTAGGATTTTTTTGTATCTGCCTTTTCATAAGTAATGCATTGCATTGATCATTTGCTTGCACAAATATCTTTTTGAGTTATTGCAACAATTGTATGTCATTCTGATTCGAGGGGCTCATAGTTTTATACCCCTGGGGTCCGAGGAACTGATGAAAGAGTTCCATATGGACGGCTGTAGTGGGACGAGTCGCACAATACCTAAGTTCGTTCCTGTTCAGCTACAGAAACCTCCACAAGGAGTGATTGTAGGAGTGCATCAAACACGATAGGCCTTCGGAGTCACTGGATGATGTGCTCAAAGGCCTCCGGACACTAAGAAACGACATAACAACACCCGTGCAACTTGCCCCTACCCCTCCCTCGGTCAGCCACTGCTGTTGTTCCGATTTGTTTCATTCCCTGCACATTTTTATACCACATTCAAGTAACTTTCAAAAATTTCGCGACCTATTCTCGGGGGGGGGGGGGGGCCCTCCCCCCGTCCCCCCCCCCTCGGTACGCCACTGGCTCATATGACTTTGTCCGAAACAAATCGGGACATCTTTTTACAATAATGGACAATGCGTTCGGTGGAGGGACATGGTCGGAGAAGTTCGGGGCGATGTTGCGCAGTCTCCGCTGTGCATCCTTTCTACGCAATCTTCTTGCAATCCCCTGGCATTCTTTTTTTTCTTTGAGCATGAAACGTTGGAATCACTCACTCGTTCCAGATTGCGCAGCGTGCACATTGCACGGTTCTCACTCCCCCTCAGGCACATCAGAGTTTTTCTTACGGGGGGCATGATGTTCTCTGATGAGAACCCGGAGGACGCTAAAATTGGAAATCAGTTCTCCTAGCAGTAGTCTCCAAAGCAGAAGATGGCGGTAGTGCCGACCTATACAAGGCCGGCACGCGCCGGTGCAAGTGGGGAGGCAAAAATATGAGGCCCTTTAGGGCCCTCCACCAGTCCCTTACGCGCGGGTCCCTCATTTGGGCGCGGAGACCTAAAACTTGTGCCCGGCGGTTCCAAGCCTGTGATAAATGGAAACCGCAACCTTCGATAGATGTTTCCGGGAAATGCCTCTAAAAAAAGATTGTCAACGAGAAGTTAGATAGTGACTGTTCCTGCCTTTATGCCGACGAGGGCGGCCCTTTCAAAGTCGATGATTATTTTCAGCCTCGTGCAGTCGAAATTAAGGCGCGAAAGCTCATTTTTCATCATTCCAAAAATTTTGTCGTATGTGCCTTCATTCTTCCGTCAAGTAACACATGCACGAGCGGAACGTCAGAATGACTGCAGATGACGTCTGACACCAAGATAGGTAAACAAGGGCTGGAAATGTTTAGTTTCACATGGCGCTCGTCGCCGACGGCATACACAAACTGCCGCCCCAGGCCCTCGATAACGAGGGCCAGTTGTATACCGTACATGCGGTATGCAACGGTATCGGTGAAACTAAACTTAACATTTCCAGCCCCTGTTTACCTATCTTAATTGGTGTCAGACGTTTGCAATCATTCTGACGTTTCGCTCGTGCATTGTTAACTCGACGGAAGAATATGAAGGCACATACGACAGAATGGGACGGTAGAAAATGAGCTTTTGCGCCTTAATTTTGACAGCACAAGACTGAGATAATAGCTGATCTCGAAGAGGTCGCCCTCGGCATAAAGGCAGGAATAATCACTACCTCAACGTCCTCGTTAGCGATTTTTTCAAAGGCGTTCCCCGGAGATCGAGGGCTGCGGCTTCCGTCTATTGCAGGCATGAAACCGCCAAGCCAAGCTCTAGGTCTTCGGTCCGAAATGAGAGACTTCCGCTCAAGGGGTTGGTGGAAGAGATCGTAAGGGCCTCATATTTCTGCCTTACCACTTGTACCGGCGCGTGCCGGCATTGTATAGTTTGGCACTTCCGCCTACACACCCAGCGTACCAACAATGCCAATTTTGGCTTGCCTCCACAGACTTGGTACGCTGGTGTTTCATGAATATCTGGTGAAAGTGGGGAATGGCACGCACCAGCAACATAGCGAGGTCCTACCACCAGTATCTTCTGCTTTGGAGGCTACTGTAGGAGTACCTGATTTCCAATTTTAGCGTCCTCCGGGTCCTCATCAGAGAATATCGTGCCCCGTGAAAATAACTCTGATGTGCTTGAGGAGAGTGAGAACCGTGCAATCTGCATGCTGCGCAATTTGGAATGAGTGAGTGATTTTTTTCCTAAAAAAGGAAAAAATGCAAGGGAATTGCAAAAAGATTGGTGGAACGCAAAGCAGAGACTGTGCTTCAGCAGATGCCCGGAACATCGCCTCGAACTCCTCTTGAGTCTCTCTCCACTTAACGATTTGTTCATTTTTGTAAAAAAAATGTCCCGACGTTTCGGACAGGGTCATATACCCCGGTATGAAACAAATCGGGACATAAGCAGTGCCTGACCGAGAGGAGTAGGGGCAAGTTGGGTCATAGAATTCCTGGAAAGGACCTGCGCGGGGTACAAAATTATGAGATTGCGCAGATAATTTCTTTTGATTTTCAAATAAAAAGCATCGAAAAGGTCACTTTTAGCCCTTTCCCCGTATGGATTCTCCACGTCACTGTTGTATAGTTGTAGTCGCGATACTTTATTTTTGTTTGTATGTACATGTAGAAAGAGTAAAAAATTAAAGCACATATCTAAAGTTTCTCCAGCCTTTGTATACATCTCGATTTCATGTAACTCGTTATCGGTTTCTTACCATCCAGCGTTCGCACGCTTGCGCCAGTGCTGTGCTGGTGCAGGCAATGGGATGTATAAAAAAGCATCAATGTAAGAATTTCTCTATGGAATGTTTCTGACGGCAGTAAAGTGTGAACTTATTCATGTTGACTGTGATTATGAATAAAATTTTTACACCTTAGACTTATATTGTACAATCATGCTCTCGCATCTGGTACTACTGAGAATGCTGGTGAAGTACACGTAAAATAGACTAGGTAGATACGTGTTTGAGTCGGAGATACTGTCATCTGCAATAAATTATAGGTGCCATGTCGCTCCAGCGTGCTTCAACTGGTACTAGGAAGAACACAATCAATTCTGTAACTAATTTTCCAAATCTGCCGCCGCTCTTGCCGCGTCCGCCTAACACCCCTCTTGTGAATCAGGCTTTAAACCCTTCAGCTGTTTATTGTCCTTCTTATGTTGCCGTCATTTCCCCCACGCCCGCTCGTGTAGCACTCACCTCAAACTCTTCATTAACCACCGCGCCTCATTTCCTGTCAGCTGTGCCCGCTCGAACCTCATGCCGGTTCGTCGGGTCTGTCTCGACCGTGTTCATACTCATTTGCCTACTTCCTCAGCTCCGGCCCAGCCTTCCACTCTTTTTTCCAGGCTAACACGTTTAGCTCAGCTAACGCGCAATCAAGCTCCCGCAGCTTCCAGGGTTTCGTCAACGTTCTCTGCATTTGCTCGGTCTGCAGGCGCTACATCTACGCCAAGTAGTCTAGACAGTTACTCTAGTGTTCCATCTTCGCCTGCGCCTGCTTTGGACAGCTATTCACTACCCTCCACCTCTAGGTCCCCATCACCTGCGCACAGTCCACGTCACTACCAATCCTCCAGTTTCCCATCGCCAAGTTCTGCGCCCAGCCTACAGAGCTACATCTCTGCTGTGCCATCTCCTGCGCCCAATCTAAACTACTATGTCGATGCGTCAAACCGCCCAGCTTCCCCTATACCAACTAATCAAAACCGTTATTCCCCTGCCGCAGCTTTACCAGCGCCTTCTGACACGCCTATTTCCTCTCGCGCGCTATTTAAGGGCACATTTGAGGTAAGTAAGTTCGGAAAACATCCAGTTTTGAGCTACCCTATTCCAGGTGCGAACAATTGTTACATCTCCACAAAAGGAAGCGCGTAGGTTCCGCGTACAGGTGTATCGCCTGTTGTAGAGCAGGCACACATGTTCAGATAGATGTATGTGGCATAATGAACCTTGCTTTGTGTGCTTATGGACGAAATTCCAGGTAGTCGGGGACGAATTTGTATCTGATCCGTGTCTTCTCCCGCACACCTGCGCACCAATGAGGAGCAGCAGCAACTTCATTCAGAGATTCTTGTACAAAAATCTTCAAGACATTCGATCCAACCCTACTTTTTCAGGTATTCCTGTCAGAAGGATATGGCAAGACCTCTTAGACAAGATTCCAGGAATGCCGAATCTCAGTGTGTCAGTCTTCAATAAGGAATTGTAACGGGGTAATCGGTTCAGGTCTCGAGGAGATCGAAGAGTTGATGGACGAGTTCCATATGGACGGCTTTAGCAGGAGACGCCGCACAATATCCAAGTTCGCTCCTCTAATAATAAGCTGCCTAATCTCAGAAGACTTTGATTGTAGAAGTGTGCATAGGCACGAGCAACCCTCGGAGTCACTCGATGATGTGCCCGAGGACCTCCGCACTTTGAGGGACGGTACCCCTTTTTTGCAATTCAGTGGCGCGGGTCTGTACGTATACTACTCTACAAAAACCATAGAGGTTTTAGTACCGTCTTTCAAACTAGCCATCTTGAAACGTTCTTACAGAAAGCTGCAGCCAATGGCCTAATGGCGTTGAGAATCCAAGTTCGTGGGTGGATAACCCGGAGAATCCAGATGGCACAGAAGACTCTGAATCATTAACTGGATAGTGCTTACATATATGCTTTTATTGCATTACTCGCCTTGAAAATTTCGAAATCTGAACTTTCTTCACTTGTCATGTGATATGTACTTTATATCTCGGTGCAACACTTACTTTTTGAATTCTGGTGATAAATAGGGTGATTTATTTCATCGCAAATCACACCTCCTCATATAGGCGTGTTATATTACTCAGGGTCACGATTCTAGCAGAGAAGTCAAATGATTATAAGTAGCACAATTCATGAATGTTTTCGAATAATTTAGGCAATGACAATTCAAATCATTCTAAGAAACTATGAAAACTGCAGAACTTGTGTCAAATTCTGCCTTCGAGAAATGGTTACCATAATCGGTAACTGGAATGGCTTAAAATTACCAATGATTTTTATACATAGGATTTCAACTAATAAGTCAAATAGCGGAAATAACAAAACGAAAAAAATTGACATCACAGATAGAAATTTTCTATAAACAATGACATTCGAGGAGCGAACAGCATATGTATCGCAACACGTTACTCTACACTATGAGAAGAAACGAGCGTTAGCATTCGAAGAAATACTCAGTGGGTGAGAGATTATACAGCGATCGGTACCATTCATCATTCCCTGACATTGATCACGATCTGCTTATGTTTGGGGTCATCTGGTCGATGGGCACGTCGTCTTCATTGGTTTTGAAGAAAGCCGCTTGTGAATCACTGCAATCCAAGCAAAACCTGCCACACTTTGGAAACCAACATTATTCACCGATGGCCGGAAAATTACTTTAGTGTCGGCCTTTGCAGACTGAAAGTGCTGTATATAGACTGATAAAATAAGAAATCAGAAAACGTACCCAAGCCTTTGCCATTGCCTTGAACACCCATCTTCAGGGTCAAGCAAGGGGTGTGGCACACGATCGCTGGTTACGACCCCCCCCCCCCCCCCCCTGATTGCTGTCTTAATAAGACCCCCCTGGACTATACCCTTAAGATAGCATTACTTGGAGGCCCTGTCAAACATAATAGGCAACATATCCATAATGAGCATGTCAATTAACCCCTGTAGACAAAGTTTGAGCGAATTCTGAAGATTCAAGATACTAGGCTACCTAAGTGAAATGGTCAAATTCCAACATGGTCAACTTTGTTTCAAAGGTGAATTAGCTATCCATTTTCGCACTCAAGACAAAGCACTACTCCTTCTTTGTCCACCTCAGGAATCCCGCTCCTCCAAACTATTGAATTAGAAGTCAACCAAAATCTCGTTTTACCCATTTTTCGCGGCTGCCGCAGGTTTTGAGGGGGGGGGGGTGCCGCAGGCCATTAACTATATCAAAAAAACATTTTTAGCGGACAGTATTTATATAAATCGATAGCCTAGATCACCTAGTTTTCACAGGAGTGATTTGAGCCTGATTCGTCTTCTTAGCTCTGAGTAATATTTGGTGAAAGCACAGCGATCAAAAGCGAAAAATGGGTAAAACGAGATTTTGGATGGCTTCTAATTCCACAGTTTGGAGGTCTTCTGAAGCGGGATTCCTGAGGTGGACAAAGAAGGAGTAGTGCTTTGTATTGAGTGCAAGAAGAGGTAGCTTACTCACCGTTAAGATGAAGTTAATCATGTTTTAACTTACTGCTTTATACAAGGTTATTCACTGCTCGGAGACCTCAGAGTTCGCTGAAACTTGGCGCATAGGGGTTATTCGACACGCGGATTACGACAATTATGCTTGATTAGAGGTACGGTAGGTTACGGTAGGCATACGGTATCTGCAAGTTTGTGTCGATGAACTTGAATTTTGCAGGATTTCAACAGCGCTTTCATCAAGTCAATTTAGTCACACAGCTTGTACAAGTGCTTTTGACCTTGGGTCGATACGACCCCCCCCCTACCTACCCCCCTCCCCCTAACGACCCCCCCCCCCCTGCGGCGTGCCGCACCCCACGCTTTACCCTGCCCATCTTATTTGCGACAACATCAGTTAACATCCAAAACCCGTCCACCGAATACCAGTCTGAATCAGTACTCATACTTCAAGGGAGATAGGTGGATTTTCATACGGAACACTTCATGATGAAATATCAAAAGAAGATCAAGTATTCAAAAATCAACTTACTTAAACTCTATGGGGCTCACTGCTAATCTTGACTTTTTCAGCATTATCCGTGACATCCCCCTTCAACTTCAGTCGTACAGTGAACCTATAACATGATTGATGAGAGAATAATCAGTATGAAATCACGTGCATTTGAGAAGATAACACTAACTCATAGGGTCCAGCTGTGGAATTGACACAGCTGACATCATCTCCAGCAGCATAACTCCTATAACATCATGAGTCATGAAAAGTAAAACTGCGTAGATATACTGACTTACCAAGATGGTTTGTCAGCGACCGCACAGGTATTGAGACAAATTCCTTTTTAGCATTCCGCATGACAATGTTTATTCCTTCAGAATAGAGCATGCAGGAGCCAAGTTTAGACCTAAATGACGTTTTTAGAATGACAAAATTGCTTACGCTTATAAATCGAGTGTCAGAACTCGCTCGCTGTGTCGAAAAGGCTCAAAATTGCTAGCAGAAAATTAAAAGTTAGATAAAGATATTGGGAAAAACTCACGCATCAGGCCTGACATCCGGAATTCGTCCTGTTATAGGGGGCAAGTTTACGGGCATGTCAATTTCTGGTCCTATAACGTTGAAAAGTATTTAAAATTACTTACTTGAAATTATGAAGAACTGAAAACATGCTCAGAACAACCACTAATTCACCAACGAATTCACGAATTCACAAGCACTACTGCGGCAACAAGATAATGAAAAAAAATTTTTTTCAACAATGATAGCGAGCTCTACTTCTATTCTCACTCATGAAGCCAGTGACGAGTGCTTTCTTTGATAAAATGGTTGTACTTACTGTTCGCTGCGGAAGGTGATCCAGTCGTTTCATCCATTTCAGATGTGATCACACGCTTCTTCGTGCCTAAAAGAGGAACATCAGTTGAATTTTCTACAACAAAAAGGCACCTTGTCAGTGGCAACAGCATCAGTTGCTGTGAAGACAGCGGTATAAGTGTCCCTAAGACCAGACAAACAGTTTTAGCCAATGACTGCATGCTAGTCCATTCTTCACCAGCTACGACGTAAGTATCATTACCTTTCGTGAATTCTTCAGCAGATGTGACTTTCACTGTTGAGAACCTTACATATACAGAATTACAGCTAAGAGATTACTTCAAAAAGAAAAACCTTACAAGAACGAAGTCTTCAAGGTACCGGCTGACGTGATATTTCTTTGACTTTACGGTAGGTGATAGTCCTGTCAGAGTCTTGTCGACTGAGTATGCGCGTGCTTCTCGAGAGAACTGTCCTGAAAGCAGGAGATTCCAAATAAAAGCTTTCTGAATATGCAAAGTTTCAATCGCTAAAGTATACACGACAAAGAGATAGCTTTAGATTAAGAAGAACACAGTGCTGAAAAGGAAAAAAAGGTCAAAACGACTAGGCTAATCTACCACAACTGACTAAATTTCGTAATCAACATTTATTTATGCTCTGAAAGTGCGAGTGCAGAAGCGCAAGAGAAAAGTATTGACAGCTCACCCAGCGTAAAATCAGGATTGACAATGAAAACAAGAGGCTGATTCATTGGAATTTTGTCTGGTCGGGATACTCCGCCATGGCCATAAATGTACGTTGTTCCTCTGGTCGTAAAAAGTATTTTGAGCTCTTCTTTAGAATAATTCAAACGTGGTTGAGTAAAGCACCTGGAAATTGTTACACTTTGGAAGAAAAATCAGTTTACAAAGGTGAGCTCACAAACAATGATGGGATAATTGCGCCATAATGATATAAAAGAACAACAATAACGAGAAAAAAATTACAAATTTTGGAATAGCATTGACCAATCTTAGACTTAGATAAGGCTGAGAAAGATTATGGGTGATAATGGCGTAGCGGAAACTGAACCAAAGAACGTTTGAGAGACGGCATCAAGCTAGCTACACACAGATAAAAAAGAATGCTAAGTTATGAAAAGTGAAGAAGGATTAAGAACTTACAACCAAACGGGCGATCGGCGTCGATAGCATTTCGCAGTTCCGTATCTCTTGCAAGGCTCAGACTAGTTCGGTCGATGGGTGCAGGACTGTTTGCCTACAGAATGGAATATCTTGGGATGGCAACGATATGGGACAGAACGAATCGAAACTTTTTGCAGGGGATATGTAAAATAAGATCAAGAGACTCTGAGACACTTCTCCTGGAAACCGTTGAATATAGAAAATTACGAATACGCATCGCGCACAAATCAAAGCTCTTGCCTTACTTCTTTTTGCAATTGCGAGTAAGTAAAACGTATAGGTAAAAGTCACTGAAATTATCAATAGTAAGATAGAGGAAATCGCCTCGTCTTAAGTGTCCATTCCACAAAAAGCAAAAAACGTGAAAAATCGACAAGTCTGAACAAGAAAGCAAATTCAGCCAAAAACCTAATTTTGGAAGAATGAAAGTTCAGTCCAAGTGACGTGCTCTAACTAAATAAATCGTTTCTATTAAACATATTCACTCCGGCTGTAAGCTCAAGAAACGATTCTCAGCAGCAATTACTTTAGGACTACTAGCGTTCGACGTTCATTGCTAGAAGAAGAACGAATATGATAGAATGAAATACCCGCGAATAAACAGAAATGTGCGATGAGAATATGTGAGACGCGTTTTTTTGTCTTACGTCGCTTCAGGGTACATCTTGTGGCGTATTGTTTGAAAACACGCCACACGCTCCATCGAGAAGCTCGTACGGAGACGCAGCGCGCCAACCGCTCGCACGAAAGCTGCAGCCAATCGCAGTGCTACCTTAGTGGGTGGTCCAACCTATTACCACCGTCGCGATTGGAGCGGGTTCAGAGGGGCCTACACCCGGGAGAATATTACGCACAAACAAGAGGACTGGCAATAGGCCAGCGATTGTCACCCGTGTTAGCAATATGTTTCATGAGCAAAGTAGAAGAACCGGTGCTATCCCGAGCCCGCTTATGTATCGTCGTTATATCGACGGCTGTTGCATAGTCACGTCGACAAAGTCCGAAATGGACGAATGTTTCCGAATACTAAATCAACAGTCGAGGTACATAAGCTTTACGAGGGAAAAACCGCGCGACGGTTGGCTACCGTTTTTGAACACACAACTGATGCTGAGCAATGGAACGGTGCACGTGAAGTGGTTTCGTAAAGACAGAAATAAGAACATTATCTTGAAGAATTTCAAGAATCAAGAATCTTTTCAAGTACAAGAATCGGTCATTTTTGACATTATTTCATTTTTCTCTGCTGGAAAGTGAGAAAACTCTAGCGCTTTTCTACCATCAAATGAAGTAAGTCCACCCTTGCTGAAAAGGATAAAAGTTCCCTGCAATCGCCTTTTGCTTCAAAGTTTTATATGGCACGGAAGCGCCGCGACGATCATTCAAGTTCGCAATTAATTTCTCAGTTCAGAATCCATGGAATAGTCTGTTCAAAAAACCTCTTGTAGCAAAAAATCTCCTTCCTTATGCATATTTTTTGAAATTAATCTAGTTTATTCCTCAATTTGAAGGCTTAGAATTTTGGAATGAACGGAGATGTATGAAAGCGAAGGCCTAAATAAGGAAGAGGCCTAAATAAGGAACTAGAAGAAACGTTCTTTCAGATAGCGTAAAAAGTTTTTGAGGAGATAAATTACATATCAGATACTAGCGCTTAGAAGAAGAGGTGAGAAAAAAGTACATTATTTATGAATCAACCTAATTTATTGCTTCAGGATGGATTTTGGTGAGTAGTTCCGACAATGGTAGCATGCTATAAATGAACCAAGCTAAGAGCCTACCACTAACTAGATTTAACAAGTAGTAAAAAGTAAAACATGACTATGAGAGGTAACAGAAAACATCATGACTTATAATATAGCGCTTAACGTCTTTCTTTTTGTGCGTGCGTGTGTATTTTTGTCTGTCACGAAATTCATAGAAGGAGTCGGAGCCAAGCTATCGAGCTATAATTTTGCATAATATACCGTACCAACATGTAGGTCTACCACCCACCACCAAAGGAGAGCTGGTTTGACAAGCGGGTCCTTCAAAATTTGCGCGTCAAACGGGTTCACGCGGCTTTTGACGCGCAAAGCTGGGCCGCTAAGTCGACTTTTTGCAAAGTGTATATCTGTGCTCCAAGAACTCTAGCCAAAGAGTGCTCAAGAAGTGTTTACAATTCATGTGATGTTCAGCATCGCGCGATGCGTTTTAAGGTCACTATCATGCGAGCACGAAAGCATACGGATAGCAGAGTTAGTGCGAACCTCCGCGAAGCAGAGGTGACGCATTGGTCACTTATAATAACGAGCTAATGTTTACGTGACTTTGTGTAACTGTTACGAAACTCTTAGAGCGCAGCGACATTCTAAACCCATTGCCTAGCGCATGCTACCAGCATGAACGTCCAGCAGGCAGAAGCACGAGCGGATTCTTTGAGTGGATCCCATAAAATGCGCGTTAAACAGATCCATTTGTTCTGGCCCGCAAAATTAGGTCCGTATCACCACATTTTGCAAACTCGTAGGTGAGTTCGGCAATTAGATATGCAAGTCATGGACTTCAGTCCAAAAAGTTTACTGCTTCACGAAAACGGCGCCAAAAAGAATTGGTTCCGTAGACGGTCATTTTGTCGAGGTTCTACCCAAACATCTGAGAATATTTTCGCACAGAAATGTAGCTCACGGTAATTCTTGTCGGTACAGCGAATAGCCATAAAACCATCACCTGTATCACCTGTATCCCCGTTGATCATCGTGTTGCACGAGCGGATACCAGTGATGCCTCCATTCGTCCCTGTCTCGGGCGATTGTTGACCAATGTTTACGTATCGCACCAGGAACACGTGGAACGCTCTGAAGGACTTCATTAAAGGACTTCGTGAACATATCTGACCATCGCGTCGGCGCCTCGTTCGCGTTTGACGTCCAGTGGTATCCAATCTGTTACAGCTCTCTCCACCGGTTGTCGTCGAAACGCATTACGTGCCCGGCCCATCTTATCTTGTTCTGTTTGGCGTACGCGGCAGCGTCCCTGATCTTCGATCGTTGACGTAGGGTAGAACTTCGTAATCCTTGCCTCACTTGCGTGAGTCGATTCACTCCTAGCATCACTCTCTCAACAGCTCGTTCGATGACGCTAACCGCGTGTTCATCCTGCTTTCTCATTGTCCATGTTTCTGAAGCGTACGTCAAAGCAGGAAGAACCGTCGAGTTGAAAAGGTGGGCGCGGAGCCGGATGTTCTTGGTCTTCTTCACTACGTCCTCAATTGTCTTATATGCTCCCCATGCTGCACGTTTCCTCCTGCTCAGTTCCGGAGCTAGATCGTTCATCATATTGAGTTCACGACCTAGGTAGGTGTAGCTTGAGCATTCGGTGATGTTCGTCCCGTTGAGCATGAAAGGAGCATCAGGCACTCTTCCGTTCCTCATGAACATCGCCTTCGTTAGATTCAGCCGTAGACCGATCTTTCCACACACTTCGTCAAACTGGGCCAGCATTTGTTCCGCCTGTGTGATACTTGGTGTTATCAATACGATGTCATCAGCAAAGCGAAGGTGGTGTAGCTGCCGGCCGTCGACTTTCACTCCCATGTTGTCCCATTCCAACTTACGCATGACGTTCTCCAGAGCGACACTGAATAGTTTCGGCGATATAGTATCGCCTTGTCGCACGCCTCTCTTCACGTCAATGATGATGTCCTTGTAGAATGGTGTTATGGTGGTTGTGAAGTCGTTATACAGCTCACGAATTATCTTGATGTAATGAGTCGGAATACCTTGATTGCTCAAGGCATCGATGACGGCTTCAGTCTCAACCGAGTCAAAGGCCTTCTTCAAGTCGATGAAGGTGAGACAGAGCGGCATCTTATACTCTCGTGACACTTCAATGAGCCTTGACACCGTGTGTATGTGGTCGATCGTGCTGAATCCTCTTCGAAACCCAGCTTGCTCGCATGGTTGTCCTTCGTCCAACTCTCTTCCGATCCTGTTGAGAATGACTCGCGTAAAGAGTTTGTAGACTACAGACAACAGCAGATAGGGCGATAATTGCCGATGTCGCAGGGATCTCCCTTCTTGTACAGCAACACGGTTTTGCTGGTCTTGCCTTGGAACCTTGCCTTCCGTCAGGTACCGCGTGAAGAGCCTTGCCAAAGTCTTGATGAGAACTGGCGAAAGATTCTTTAGATGTTCTGGCTTAATCCTGTCGGGACCGGGTACTGTACGGTTTTTCATCGACATGATAGCATGACGAATCTCGGAAGGAAGAACAGACGGTGCGACATACTCGTCCTCCTTGAGATGGCATGGTGGAAGGTGGACGTGGCTCGTAAAAAGATCCGAGTAGAAGTTGTGGATGACCTTCTCCATTGATCTTCGGGAAGCAGTTATGGTTCCGTCAGGACGACGAAGTGCGGTCATCTTTGTCTTGAAGTTGACGAAGCTTCGGCGGGCGTTGCGTATACTTCTTCCAGCCTCCGCGGCGTCAACCATCACTGCTACTCTTCTCTCCTTAAGGTCTTCTTTTATCGCTTCTCTGCATCGCTTCGCAAGCTCGGACGTCAGTCGGTAGTTGCCTGTGGCTCGTGCGCGTCCACGTTGGCGTATCAGCTCCAAAGTCCCCGTGGTGAGACGCCTTCTCGTACTTCTTAGACTCTGAGCTTCCTTGGCACAACCGTGGAGATGTTGTACGAACCGTTCGTATTCTTCGTCGATGTTGTCCATCACGGTATCTCGCCTTGAGCCGGATATCGAAGAAAACAGATCCCAGTTGGTGGTATT